AAGTGGCAATGGCCAAAGGAAGATGCTACTTGGTGGACAAGACCTGCCAAGAACAAAGAAGGGATGGCCGACCAAGCCCTCACGAAGGCGTGGGGTACGCTTTCTATGGAGGCAAAGAAGGCCATCGAAGAAGCAGGATGGAAGCCGCGGACGATGGAGCCGGGGCCAATTTGGCCCCCGGGATTACCTGGCAATGGATCGCAGGCAGAAAGCATGTCACAGAAGGAGTACCGTGCGGCCATTGAGACTGTGTGGCAAGGAGCCGAGCCCGCAGTGCAAAGGCTCCTCAGAGCGGCGGGTATACCCCCGCCGGGGGACTACAAGCCTGAGGACGAGACGCCAAAGCAGGAACTCAGCCGCCATGTTGGTACATACAGACGGACGACAAACAAGCTGAGAACGCTCATTGAGAAGAAGGTCCGGCTTCAAGACAAAACGGAGAAGATAAAGAGCGAGTTCGAGCAGGCCATGAAGCAGCTTGCGCAAGTCAGCCAGGCCATCCAGGCCACGGAGCTGGAGGTAGCGGAAGCACAGAAGAAGGTCCAAGCCTGTGTGAAGGATGAAGAGGACTCGCCATACAAGGACGTCGCGGACTACCTGGAAAAGGAAGGGATCATCCTGTCTGAGGAGCAAGCGGAGGCGCTCAAAACAAGGATGGCAGTCAAAGTCGTGGAGACAGACTGGACGGGAGTCTTGGGACCAAGAGAGCCGAGCATGCCAGTTGAACTTGGAATATATGGGCCGATGCGCATGTCTCGAGATGTGTCAGTCAGGGCAACGCCGACGGGGCGCGAACGCTCGCCGGCGCGTGCCCAGGGCGAGTGAAACCTCAGGCTGGGACAGGAGCGGAGGGGCCGACACCTCAGGGCAGCTCCTGGTCCGAACAGCCAAACTAGGAAAGCAGGACAAGTAGAGGAGTCTCAATGGGGAGACTCTGATTTCTCTTTTGACGGTGGCCGAAAGCAGTGTCACGGGGACATTGTATGGCCACAGGTACATGGGGAAGGCAGTCAAGCTGTGTGTAGTACCCAAGTGCCTAATACAAACAGCACAGTGGAAGACAGCCAAGAGAGCTGGAGTCCAGTAACGCGGGGTCCAAAGTCAGCCCGTGCTGTGGATAGCAGTTGGGCGGTCACAGGTCCCAGATACTTCGGTCTGGGAGGTGCGGACCATGAGGATGAATGTGTGAATTCGGCCTCGCAAAAAGCAGAGGGAAGCCAAACACAGATGGGAAACCCAACTGCGGTAAGAGGGGATAGCCTAAAGGCCTCGCAGAAAGCTGAGGAAGCAAGGTTGTCGGCCTCGCAAAGTGCTGAGGGTCACCAAAGGAAGCAAAAGCCCAAGAAACGGAAAGCGCACCCAAGAGCACCACCTAAGGATCTACCACAGGAGTGGCAAATGTTGTGTCAAGTGGTGGGTAGATATGATGCTTCCAGTGAGGCTGCCGCACTCGAAGCCATTGAGAAACTGGAAGAGCAGGAACTCAACCCGCTACAACAACGAGCATGCCACGAAGTGCTTCGTTCCTTTGTGGAGCAGGACGCACAATATGCCAAATGGATCTTGGCAGATGTGGCAAGTGGGTATCGCCAAGATGATAAGGCCGAATGCATCAAAATCACCTCGGCTAACATCACCAGCTGGAGGAAACCCATAGCGGCATGGATACACGAACTAGGACCGGACCTGGTGGTGCTGCAGGAAACCCATCTCAAGACGGAGGGTATCCAGCAAGCCATGAGCCATTGCCAAGATATGGGATACACCTTCATTGGCATGCCAGGCAGTACAACAACTAAGGGTGTACAAGGAGGCCTGGCAGTGGTGGCACCCCGACATAGGAACCTGCGATACCTTACTGAGTATGGGACAGGACCGGCGGGCTTCCTGGCATGTGCCATGAGAAACAAAGGCTGGGATTTGATCATCGTCAGTCTGTATTTGGAGAGCGGGGTCGGATTCCAGGCTCCAAACAATATCCAAGTACTGGCGAGACTGATAGCCTTTCTCAAGGGCTGCAAAGTGCCATATATGGTGCTGGGTGATTGGAATGAAGCCCAGGATACCATGAGGGGCACAACTCTGGCGACAGAAGTTGGTGGTGCATTTGTTGGAGTGGGGGAACCAACGGCCCAAGGATCGGATGAAATCGATTACGGGCTGGTTGCGAAATGCTTGGTGCCCATCCTGCAAGTGAAAACGGATTGGGAAACCCCTTTTCGGCCTCATGCTGCAATGCATTGGAGGGTGGCCCAACCGTGCAGTAGCCCTGATGTTCCCCAGATGAAGAAGGCGGGAGCACTGGTGACGGAGACTGTGGAATATGAACCAGTTCAAAACACACAGAGCATCAACATCTTGGATGAACCCAAGATGGTAGATGAGCTCAGTGAGACATTTGCTCACCTGAGTGCCGGTGTGGAGAGGTCGATCACAGGCCGAATCGACGGTATGGGTGTTAAATCGGAGATTGTGCGGAAGAAATTGGTGGTCAACAACCCGGAGAACGTTGTCTGGACGGGCAAGAGGGCGGCCTTTTGGAACCGGGTCCAACAATGGGTCAAACAAGGCAGACATCATGGCGATGCACATCCGGTGGCGCGTCTGGTCCAACGCAGGCTCGGCGAGTATTACGAGGGTGATGCGCAGAACCAGGAGGATATGCTTGCGAGTATCCTGGGCCGGGGTACGGACGCTAAGCTTGTTCTGAAGCGCATCGACGAACAGCAATGCTACGCGAGAAAGGCGGATATGGAGGAGACAGCCCACCAGTACAAGCAATGGCTCAGTAAGGCCATGGAAAAGGGCATGCGACCATTATACAATGCCTTGCGAAAAGAAGAACAAGTGGTACACAGACCCTACATGGAATATGACATGCTGGAACGGCCACACATTCGCCGAGACCACTGGGCGGCAGTGTGGACGACGGGCCAACCGTTGGCAAAATCGGCCTCGCTCATGACGGAGCTTGAGGATGCAGCCAAAAAACAAGCGGCCAGCGTGGAGCCGCTGAACCCTGTCGAGGTCAAGGCAAGGATCAAAAAACTGGCACTAAAGAGCCCGGGGCCGGATGGCTGGAGGATTGACCATTTGCAGGCCATGGACGATAAACCAGTTGAAGCCGTTGTGTCCTTCTACCATGAATGTGAGGCCAAGGCAGCATGGCCGCAGCAAATGACAGTCTCCCTTATAGCAATGCTGCCGAAGAATCTGACCCGGGAAAGACCAATCGCCTTGCTACACATCCTGTACAGGACTTGGGTCCGTCTGCGCTGGGATTTGGTAAGTACTTGGCAGGCAGGCTATGCCACAACTGCCACGTACGACAAGGCAGTCCCAGGCAGTTGCTGCTTGGACGTGGCCGTAGGCAGACTACTGCGAAATGAGGTGGCAAAGACAAATGGAGTGCATGTGGTGTCACTCTTTGTGGACCTCGAGTCCTTTTTCGATACCATCCAATTTCAGCAATTGATCATGGCAGCAACGGCCCTGCAATATCCGCCGCTAATCCTGAAGATGGCACTGGAAGTGTACATGGGTGCCAGATACTTGGTGGCGGATGGGGTGCTATCGGCAGGCATCAGAGCTACAAATGACGTGCAAGCGGGCTGCCCAGCGGCGCCATCGTTAGCAAAGGTGGCATTGCACCCGGTGATAGAAAAGATCCAAAGGCGACGAGATGTGGCAAACGTGGACTGTTGGTTGGATGATGTCTCAATTGACATCCAGCATAAGTCCTTTAAACACGTGGCGGATAGTGCCATACGAGTCTACCGCAGCTTAAAGGACGGGATGGATGCTAATGGTTTCACGATTTCATCCAAGAAGACAGGGTTTGTGGCCAGCAGTACCCAGGCGAGCAAGCACCTGCGTGAACTCCTGCTGCATCATGAGCCACAGGTGTACGACGTGATGCGTGACCTGGGCGTCGACAGTACAGGGGGGCGAAAGCGTCGCTTGGTGACGTCGGCAACGCGGGCCAAGAAAGCCCATGCGAGACATAGCAAACTGTCTAGGCTGGGGCCGCCGCCCAGCACTAAACTCCGCGTGGTCAAGGCAGCGATCACATCAGTTGCTCTGTGGGGGCACCCCTCTGTGGGGGTCTCACCCAAAAGAATGAAATGGCTCCGAACAGTGGTTGGAAAACACCTGGGTAAATACAAGCTTGGGAGTTTGGAAACCATCTTGGACATGGGAGCCAAGAAATGCCAGGATCCAAAGCGCACAATCCACAAGCAGCATTTCAAAGTGGTGGCCAAAGTTTTCCGTGCATGGATCGGTGGCGGAAAAGCCCACTTTGACTTGGCCTGGAAAACCACTTGGAAGAGGTTGAGTGCGGCCAAACACCACTGGCCACTGGTCACGGGGCCGATGGCAGCAACCATGGCGTACTTATTGGATCTGAAGGTAGATGCCAGTGACCCAGGCAGATGGAAGAGAGGAAGTGTCCTCAACGTTGATTGGACCCAGCCACGCATGGGTAGCCTCGCCTACAAATGGCTTGAAAGAAGCAGAAGCGGGCTGCGATAGCGCGACAGGCAGGTGGCGCTGGTGCCCAAGAGGGGCTGGATTGGACGCCGCATCACAAGCTGACGAAGCTGGGAGGCCTCAGCCCAGGCCTTATGGAAGGTATAAAGTCAGTGTGGCACGCGGGCGTCATCACGGAGTCCAAGCCAGGATGGTGCAAGAAGTGCCAAATGCCAGCAACTCTGGAGCATGTCCTCAAGGAATGTCCTTACTGGCGTGAACAAGGGTTCAAAGAACCCAAGCTCCAGGAATACTTGCGTCACAAATACCCATGGGAGTGTCTGTGGACAAGGGCACTCCTGCCAAAGCCGGCGGTGTGGCACCCGAAGCCG